GAAAAGATATATTGAATTACAATGACCACCATTCTCCCTAACAACTTTGAATTCCTAAGCCAAAACTTCGGTCGAAGAGTAGTAAGGTCCAATTAGATCGTTGCTCCATTGACCAGGTCTTATCTAATGCAGTTACTTGCCAGAAAATCCCTAACTTTTTCCTAGGTTGCCCTTGCGGGTTTTCAACCTACCGGGAAAATTTATTCTGTTTATGTCTCTAATTTTTGCCTAGACCATCCTTTCGGGTTTTTGGCCTACCAAGACGCTCTTTTTTTCCTAAGTCGCCCTTTTGGGATTTCGTCTTAGTGAGCTGTTCTTTTATTTTTCTATGCGAAGTATCTCTTGACTGCATCAGCATTCGCAGGACGTGGGAACTCCTCTCCATCCATTGTTTCAAGAATCAGTGCACCGCCAGAGAAGGCTTTCTTGACAACATATGGGCCTTCAAAATTGGGAGTCCACTTGCCCCTAGAATCAGCGCTAAAAGACATGATCTTCCTGAGCACGAGGTCGCCTTCTCTGAATTCACGAGGTTTGACCTTCTTATCAAAATATTTCTTCATTCTCTTCTGGTATAACTGACCATGACACAAGGTCGTCATTCTCTTCTCTTATATTAAATTCATTCTCTTCTCTTATATTAAATTCAACTGGTTAAACCTGTTCTAAACCCATTCATCCTCTGACAACTTGGCTTCCATTATTACACGCAGAGAGGGAATTTCAACTTCAATGGGTAGCACTGCTTCCATGCTATATACAAGGGAGAACGGGGTTACTCTTGTTGAAGTGCGTACAGATGTTCGATATCCATGCAGAGCAAAAGGGAGCATTTCATGCCAATCTTTATAAGTAACAACCATTTTTTGTATTAACTTCTTGATGTTCTTATTGGCCGCTTCAACAACTCCATTAATCTTTGGTCTGTAGAGAGATGAATTATGGTGAACAATATTAAACTCCTCACAGAGTTCACACATCATTTTGTTATTCAGATTCAAACCATTGTCAGTGATAATCCTTCTTGGCACACCATACCGAAATATGAGGTTGTTCTTGATGAAACGCACTACCATCTATTTGGTGACATTAGCATATGAAGCTGCCTCCACCCATTTCGTAAAATAATCAATTTCCACCAAGATAAAACGATGCCCATTTGACGCCTTTGGTTCAATCATCCCGATCATGTCAATATCCCACATAGAGAAAGGCCATGAGGAAGAAATAACATTGAGAAGTGTCGAAGGTACATGAATTTTATCAGCATAAATTTGACATTTATGGCACTTCTTGGCAAAATTGTAACAGTCAGATTTCATTGTCAGCCAATAGTAACCTGCCCTAAGCATCTTCCTTGCCATTGAATTTCCATTGGCATGGGTGCCAAATGAACCTTCGTGAACCTCATGCATCAACATGTCTGCTTCGTGTCTATCCACGCATATGAGCAAGACCATGTCATGATTTCTCTTATACAGTACATCCTCATTGAGGAAAAAGCTGTCTGCCAACCTTCTCAATGTCTTTCTATCCTTATTTGATGCACCAATCGGGTATTCCTAGGTTCAGAGAAAATGCTTGATATCAGAATACCAAGGTTTTTCATCTACCACATCCTCTGTTGCAAACACATGAGTCAGTCTATCCAAACATTGTATCATAATATGAGGCACATCATTCCAATTATTAACCTGATACATAGAAGCCAGAGTTGCGAAAGCATCCGCCATCTGATTTTCATCTCATGGAATATGATGGAATTCAACTTTGTTGAAGAAGGGTAATAGTCTTCTAGCATAATCTTTGTAAGGGATCAAGCCAGAGTGACGAGTATCCCATTCTCCTTTAATCTTATTAACAACCAAAGCCGAATCACCATACACATCTAAAACATTGATTCTGAGATCAATGGCCTCCTCGAGACCCATAATGCAAGCCTCATACTCCGCCATGTTATTAGTACAATCAAATATCAACCTTGCAGTAAAAGGAATGTGTGATCCATGTGGAGTAATGATCACCGCACCAATTCCTTTTTCGTAAGCATTCACCGCTCCGTCAAATACCATGCCCCAACGAGATTCAGGATCCGGACCTTCCCCAGGCAAAGGTTCATCACAATATTTTTCTTTTAAGAACATCACATCCTTACCAGGGAAGTCAAACTTAACAGATTGATAGTCATTTACTGGTTGGTGATCAAGATAATCCATCAGCATACTGCTTTTTATGATCTTTTGAGTGTGGTACTCGATGTCGTATTCAGCCAATAGCATTTTCCAACAGGAAATTCTCCCTGTAAGAGCAGGATTTTCGAAAGTATACTTAATTGGATCCATTTTGGAAATCAACTAAGTAGTATTATTCAACATATATTGTTGCAACCGCTTTTCCGCCTAAGCCAAAGCGCAACATGTCTTCTCCAACATAGAATACCGTGACTCACAATCAGTAAATTTCTTACTGAGGTAGTATATGGCATATCCTTTCTTTCCTGTTTCATCTTGTTGTCCTAAAATACAGCCCATAGAACTATCCAACACTATTAGAGACATGATCAATGGTTTTCCTTCAATGGGAGGGAGCAAAATAGGAGGTTCAAGCAGATATTCTTTGATACTTTCAAATGCTCTTTGGCAATCCTCTCTCCACACATAACCCTGATATTTCTTTAGCAACTTAAAGATCGGTTCACATGTTGCAGTCATGTGGGAGATGAATCTAGAAATATAATTTAGGCGCCAAAGGAAACCTCTAACTTGCTTCTCAGTCCTTGGCGCATGAATTTATTGGATCGCTTTGACCTTATCTGGGTCCACTTCAATCCCTTTCTAGATGACGATGAAACCCAACAACTACCCTGATCAGACACTGAAGGTGCATTTATTTGGATTCAAGCAGAGACGATACTTCCTCAAACGCTGGAATAACTTCAACAAATCTTCCACATGCCTTTCTTTGGTCTGTGATTTGGCAATCATGTCATCAATATATACCTCAATTTCCTTGTGCATCAGATCATGGAATAAGGTTGTCATAGCCCTCTGGTACGTTGCACCAACGTTCTTCAACCCGAAGGGTATCAATCTGTAATAGAATGTTCCCCAGGGTGTGATAAATGTTGTTTTTTCCATGTCCTCAGGAGCCATTCTTATTTGATTATATCCGGAGAATCCACCCATGAACGAGAATACTTTAAATTCTGCTGTGCTATCAACCAGCATATCAATATGCGGTAATGGAAAATCATCTTTTGGACTAGCTTTATTTAGATCTCTGTAATCTACGCACATGCAGACTTTTCCATCTTTCTTTGGTACAAGCACAATGTTGGCTATCCATTGAGGATACACTGATGTCACAAGAAAATCAGCGTTTATCTGTTTTAAGACTTCTTCTTTGATTTTTAGTGTCATATCAGGGTGGGTTCTTCTCAACTTCTGCTTGGCGGGCGGACACTCTGGCTTTAAAGGCAAATAGAAGACTGTGGTCAGTTGAGACATAATGTTTGATGAAATTAAAGAAGTGAAGAATAGTGCAACTGGTAGAAATAAAAGTGCAATCGATTACACTAGTGAAAATTTTATTTCTATAGTGTTGGAAAATGTAGAACCAACCTCTATTGAAGCCCGAGTGCAAGAAAATGTGAGCAGACGAACAACGCAAAAAGGTTTTCCTCCAAGACTCCAAGATCTTGAGCTATTCCGAGATAACAAAATCAATGACAATGGTGATTTCTTCCCTTTTTCCTTTATGGCAGAATCCAAATCCATTAAAACGGAGGAGGCTTTGAGTGATCTGAAATAGATTTGTGGTATGAAGGAGAAGCTGAAGTTGATTGAGAAGAATACGTCCAATAAGAGACTGCTTATCCATCAAAGAAGGTATGCGCTTGAGATTTTGAAGAAGTTTGAAATGGAGAGTTGTAATGTTGCCATTACTCCGACTGAACCGATGCTACAATTGTCGAAGAATGAAAACGGGTAAGATGAGAGGATGATTGGATCCTTGCGTTAATTGTGCAATACGCGACCAAATTTGGCGTTTAATGTCAGTATTATGAGCAAATACACGGAGAGACCGAAGGTGCCTCACTTGACAACAGTCAAGAGGATTCTAAGATACATCAAATGATCTATTGGCTGCAAAATTCTCTTTCCCGCAATGAACAAGGGCAAAAAATACAATTTAGTCTGATTTACCGATTCCAATTGGTGCTGAGACAAATACGATAGAAAGTCTATGGCTGGATACATCTTTATGTTCAGAGAAACACCAATCTCACGGCGTTCCATGTAGAAACTAGTAGTGACACTCTCTTCTTGTGAGGCCGAGTACATTGCAACTTTGTTGTGTGCGTGCCAAGCAGCGTGGTTGATGAATTTGTTGAAGGAGATAGACAATCAAGAGGGTGACATTGTAATGCTCATATTTGATAACGTTTCCACTATAAAACCTTGCTAAAAATTCCATTGCACATGAGAGAAACACGCATATTGATAAGATGTTTCACTAATTGGAAGAACTTGTTAGTGAAGGAAGATTGAGATTCAAGTATTGTAGAAGTGAAGACCAAATGACCAATTCGCTGAATAAAGAAGACTCGATTGAAAGATTAAAAAGATTGCATAAGCATATGAACATGAAAGACTTAAAAGACTTGAATTAAGATAGTGTATTAAAACAATAATATAATTCAAGTCAATACAACATATTAACATAATACATCAACATGTTACACTCTCGGAGTTTTAGTTAAAAACTCATGCCTTAGTGATTGTACCCAAGAGTTTTTCAATTTTAGTTAATTATACCTTATCATTATTACATATTCACCTTCAATTTTACTAAGTCATGAATCAGCCAATTTATGTAATCAACACCCTTATTTGATATATATATATAGAGAGAGAGTATTTGATGGCAATGAAATATAAGACATAAGGGTTTTAGCGTTAGTGAAAGAGTTGGATGATCTTGTTTGTACCCAGAAAAAGATGTTGCGAAGTTTAGACACCACTCACCTCACCCTCCTTCGTTCCTTCCTCCGCTCTCCTTGTTGGTTTTCTTCTCATTCCTCTTTCGCTTTCAAAACAATCACTACACTCTCACAATCTAAACCATACTCTTTTCTTTCACTTTCCTCAACACAACAACATGCATCTTCCTTCACCCCGCCTCCTTTTCGCTCCTCCCTTATACGCCGCGTTTCGTCTTTTCCTACACTCCACTGGAACGACGCCGTTTCTTGCTCCGAAGTTGATGCTCATGCTCATGCTCATTCCACTCATGATGGAACCCTCGATCAGGATACCAAACCTGCCATTCCTGTTAGAGCTTTCTTCTTCTCTACCAGGTACACACATATCAGATTCTGTTAATTTCAATTTCAAAAATTGCCAACACTTAGGAATGTTCAACAAGGGAGAGGGCATTAAATGTTTTTATCTGCTTAATATGCATACTGATTTTATGTATCTCCCTTTCATTTTGGATCTAGTGTTGATTTAAAAAGCTTGGTGGAGCAGAACAAACCAAACTTTGTCACACCATCATCCCGTATGACCAATTATGTAGTTCTCAAGTTTGGCAATCTTAGCGATTCCAAGGTATGTCTCTATTGCCCTATCCTACTCATGCATTTCTCTTCATTCATACTCTTTTTCTTAACCTTTCACAGCCTATTATGTCTGTGAAAAGGTTTTATCCACTGGATGATTCAATGAATTCTCCGCCTTTGCTTTCTCGACTGTTAAATATATATTGGGGGTCTTTGTTCTGTTGATACTAAAGTGCTTTTTGTTTCAGGCTCCTGGTTCTTCTTTCTTGAATGGAACAAATGGCTGTTACATGGTAGTTTTTCAGTATGGCTCCATTGTACTGTTTAATGTCTGCGAACACCAGGTTGATGGCTATTTGAAAATTGTTAGGAAACATGCATCTGGTTTGCTTCCTGAAATGAGAAAGGATGGTGAGTTCTTGTATCTAATATGAATGTTTTTTTTTTTTGGTGAATGGGAGGGGCTAAAGCCCCAAAAACAAAAACAAAAATACTAGAAACCTCTAGGAAAACTAACATCTCAAGCAGCAACAAAAACATTCGAAATGAACTGTGGACAGCAACAAAAAACTGACTAACTACCACCATGTAAGGATAGCCGAACTTAGCCATTCCAACCACAGATTTTTTAGCTTCTCGTAACACATGATACCAAGAAAAGTGACCTCCTTTCACCTAGAAGGCTTCTCGTAAGTGACCTCATTTCATCTGGAAGGCTTGGACATCTTCAATCATAGAGCTACATAGACTTGTGTTCACAGTCAGCAATAATAAGCTGGATAGGAACCTTGGATATCTTCGATCAAAGAGCTGCATTGACGCTTGTTCACACATCCAGTACCTTTAAATCCGGCTCAATCATGATCATCTTGAAGCCTCTAATCTAAACAAGCTTCAGCCCTCCCTGGCAAGATAGCCCAGATTTGCATCTAAAGTTCTTAACCATACTCTGTCAAGGTTATCATTTTATAAATTTCAAAATTTTAAAGAAAACAGGATATATAAATGTAGAAGGACAAACTAATGATAGCGTAATAACATTGATGTAAAGGGAGACTGGTGCTATAAAGTGGTGCTATATTCACTGTGGATTTATAATTTACTACTGGTAATAAAATGACAACTTGAATCTTTGAGCTTGTAGTCAAACAGTTGCAACTCCTAAACAACACTATATGATAGGTTTTTGGGTTCAAATATGGAATAGTTTTGGTTTATGCCCCAGCCCAAGCAGATTACAAAACATTAGCCACATTGTTCATTGGCTTCAATGGCTTGGGCTGAGCTTTGCAACTTATCCATTATCACATTGATGGGTGTTATTTGTGTACATCTGCAGTCTGCACACTTACTGTGTGCACATAATTGCTGTTGTGGGGTGAATTTTTCCAATCTGATTTACCGTACACAAAAGGAAATGCTTTTTTTTTTTTGTTTTGTTTGTTTGTTTAGAAGCTGCTGCTCAGTTATTATGAATATGGGTGGTTCTTGATGGACAAATAGTTTAGTATATGGAATGGAAAAAATATTATTTGTCTTGAAAAGTTTCATGAATTATCCAAATCCTTATTCCCATTCGTAACTCATTTTTTGAATCAAGTTATTTTCTATGTTTGATAAACTACCTAGACAGTTCATAGGTCCTGAGGGCAAGTAATTTATTTGGGTGCATGTTGTTTAAACTCCCCCTTGATATGTGTTTTTGTGTTGTGTGTTTTTTACTCTATGGAAACTGATCTGTTGTTATATGAATGCACCGTCTGCCTGAGTTTGTTAAACTAACTTTGCGATTTTGATATTGATGGAGCTAAATATTTGGAGTATTGTGCTGCTATTTTGTGCATATGATTGATTTAACACTTCCATATCATGTAGACCTTTTTTTTTTGGGAATTGAAGATTTCTCCACTAATGTTTTCACCTTTATTTATTATTTATTTTCTTATGGATGATTCTTTCCCTCCATTTGGAAATTCTCTATGTCTTAACAAAATTCTGTTATTTGTAAAAATGAAGTTGGGAAACTTGAATAATTTGAAAAAATGGATTAAATGGTAGTTTATTTTAATGATTTTGAGGTAAACTTTGTTCTTTGACGAGGATAGGAAGGGATGCTCTACGGTTATTCAATAAAGCATCTAAGTTTTCTAAGTTAAAATATTGTTAAGAAAATGCTGGACAACTTTGTTATAAAATAGACCATGCACTTTATTTTAGTGGTCCAAACTAAAAGGTCATGGTTCTTAACTTCTTATTATTGGTCTTTTCACTTATCTCAAATGATGAGACCATTCTTCATTTAGGGAGCTTTTGATTTTCCAAAAAGTAGTTGTTCCTTGTTTGATTTAAACATCAAAGAAAAAAACGCATAAAGTAATCTACGTATACATGTTTACCTTTATATTATGTAATGATAATGTATTGAGATTATGAAATATGTCAAGATTAATATTGTTTCATAAAAGCGATTAAAACATTAATCTTGATGCACCTCTACGACATATCAAATGGGTTTAAGAATTTAAGAGATGATCTATATGATTGGGTGCTTAGTATGTATTGGTTTTTTCTAGAACATGGGCTCTATTAGTTATCGTTAACAGACAATATAAGGGATTTGGAATCTTTGCTTAAGTTTTTTTTCCCTCTTTTCTTGGACTGTGGTTCTCAATGGTTTTGCGCACTACTGTGCATCAGGATATACACCCATCTTCGATGTAAAAACTTGTAGGCCTTATGTAAGTATTTTTTCTTTGATGTAGCTTTGTTGTGATCCAAGTGATGGAGGACATAAGCAATATCATTTTTTTTTGGGGAATTTTATATCAATGTGTGACAGCAATCAAATATTTTCACTTTTCCTTTAAAGTCATGAGATTTGGACTTATAGTTTTATGGATATGCCATTGCCATCTGATTGTGGTTACTTTATTTATTGATTTTAGGTATTGTTTCCATTATCTCCGAAGGTTTGATAGGTTAACATGCTTTTACACTATTTAATTTTTCTCTGTTTTGAGAATTTAGAGTATGAAGTTAGAGAAAAATCAGCTTTAAGCACATGGATGCTAGGAGGACTAGATTACATAATGTTACAATACTTGGACGTTGATGGAATTCGAACTATTGGCAGTGTACTAGGTCAAAGTATTGCTCTTGATTACTATGGCCGGCAGGTATATGTTCTGCATATTAGGATTCTTTGATATTTTGATATACCACATTTTGTTTATGTTCCTCTTAGGATTTAACAGTCTCCTTCGACTTGTATTCTAGGTTGACGGAATGGTTGCAGAATTTACAGACATAAATCGTGAGATGGAAGCGACTGGAAAGTTCAAGATGCAAAGGAAAAAACTTTTCCAGTTGGTTGGCAAGGCAAATTCAAATCTTGCTGATGTGATTCTAAAGCTTGGACTATTTGAGAGGTAATAATTCTGTTGGTGGTAACACATTGTGTTGGTTGTCTTTTAGAGTGTTGAAGTTGAAAAGTGCAATTATACTTTGTTGCCAGTTTCAGATTATTTTCGCCGACTTTTGTAGTTTGAATTTTCCAAATGTATTCTTACAAAAATACATATTTTATTAAGGGTAATATAATATACACATTTCCTTTATTTTTATTTTTTCTTATTTGTTACACATAGCCCCTCAACTTCAGTGTTACTGAAAACATTGTTTACTTTTTAGTCTTTACACATGCAACTGCCATGACTGTGCTTGCTTACCTCTGTAGCTATGTTTTATTGTTGAAATTTTCGTCTTCCAATGACTTTCTCCTCCCTGATGCCCACACAATCACATTGAAACCCTTGTGTGAATGAGTCAGTGAATTATACCGTGTGGTAGAACAGGGTAGAGTACAGAGTACAGACTTGACTTGTACATGATAAAAAAATGTAAAATAGTTAAGTTGGGTCATATTAATTATTACACAATTGGACTTGACAATAAACATTATGTGTTTCTTTTAACTTAGAAAGTTTTAAATGGTGTTTGCAGATCAGATATCGCATGGAAAGATGCCAAATATGGTCAGATATGGGAGTATCTCAGGGATGAATTTGAGTTAACTCAGAGATTTGCAAGTCTTGATTTCAAGTTGAAATTTGTGGAGGTTTAATTTCTAGCTTCTTAACTTGATTCTCTGTCTGGATTATCTCTATGACTTGTATCTTTTTGTTCATAACTTTTTGCCTTTTTATTTCTGCAGCACAATATCCGATTTCTACAAGAAATTCTTCAAAACAGGAAATCTGATTTCCTAGAGTGGCTCATTATTGCATTGATTGGTGCCGAAATTCTGCTATCCCTATATGACATTGTTCAACGGTCTGCAATGAATCTTTAGCAGCATTGTTTCTATTGAAACACTGTTATGTGGTACGAAAAAGTAAAACCCACATGTCACAGAACAAATCAGCAGAGGACAAGAGATCAATGAGCAACTATAACAAAACATGAACCAAGTGATCATACGGTTTTATTTATATTGATGCAGCTTTGTTGCACAAAATTCATCATATTTATTTTCTCTTTCCGGTGGCATGTACTACCTGCTTGGGTGTTGTAGCATAACATAACTTTGTGCTACTCATCAAGATGTTGGTGGCCCATGCCAATGCATTCAATTATCTCTTGTAAATAGCAATTTGAAACCATTTTTACTCGGTTCTTTACTAGTTAGTACTTAGTTTGTATAACTTACTATATATGCACTATAAAACTATACTGGCATGTTTTGTTGAATAAAAATCATCTTCCTATTCATTCTATTGCATCAATCAATTCTTTTGTTTACTTTTGAGAACTAGGCTAACTTTGATGACTTATTTATCATTAAAGTGATTAGCCTTGATCTTGATCTTGATCCTTTGAGTTGTCTTTCCATCCAAATCCTGACCAAATGCAAATTGCTGAGATTTGGCTGCATCGATTTTTTCAAAGGCAACGGATTTGGGTTGGATGTTGAATTATGGTGTTTCCCGTGCGGTTTGAAGTATTTTGAAGTAAAAATTCATCTAAACAAGGATAAATTTATTTGCGGTTCGATTTTGAATGATTGATTAAAAAAGACTATCCAATTTAATTTAGCGCGGTTTAATTTGGATCAATTTTTAGATATTTAAATTAGTAATTATATTTTTTATCAAAATTATAAAAATGCTAATAAATAAAAAATTTGGTATAATATATACTATATAGTATATCTAAAACTAATATTACAAAATGAAAATGATTGATTATGTTTAAAAAAAATGAAATAATAAAAATAAATAGATTAAACTAAATTAATAAATAATATAGAAAAAATAATCGTATAATAAATTAATCTAATATATTATATTAATAAAAAGTAAATAAGCATAAAAATATATATACACAGTTCTGTTTGATTTTGAAAATCGATCCGAAATCCGAATTGAACAGTTTTTATAAAATGACATAAAAACACATAATAATATTCTGTATTTTGTAGTTTTTAATGTTTCCAATCACAAATAAAATTTTAGTAAATTGATGCCATCGAACATCATCATGAGATAGATCTTTGAACAAGTTTTGCAACTCATTCGACCGCGTCTTATCCAAAGTTATAAAACTCAAGTAGCGGTCGGAACAACAAAATACTCAACAACATGAGATAACATACCGCCTAACCTCATGACATACTTTATACTTATTACTACATACTACATCTTGTATAACACTTAATAAGGTCTTGCTTACAATATACAATGCTTACGTAGTATGTAGCATGATAATGTCATACAAAAAAAAACACACATATACATATATTATTAACAATTGATATTACAATTACAAGACACTGCGTGTAACACCCAGTTCTACGTATAGAATATTTTTACTGTATTTTATTTAATTAATTATGCATATTCGATGATTTATTTAATTGTTGAAATATTTGTGGGGCGTGAGTCTTTGAGTTAGGAATATGATAAAGTTATCATAGGTGGATAGAATAATTTAGAATTATTTTATTAAGTAAAGATATATGTTGTTGGAGATGTAGTAGTAATAGAAGGGTGTTGTGAGAATGTAGTAGCTTCGTAAAATAATTTAGAAATAATTAGAATAATTAGTATTTTTATTATTATTAAAAATAAATAGAGAAATTGATAAAAATAAGGACCAATTGTATGAATTTAGGAAAGTTTGTGGTAAGAGGAGAGAAGCTAAAATTAATTTGGACAATAATAATAATTAGGCTAATGTAATGAGGTAACTATATATTTTAAAAGTTGAGAAAATTAGGTTTTTAGAGAAACCAATTGACCGTACGTAGAATTAGAGAGCAAAAGAGGAAAAGGCAAGGTTGGCTAGAGATAGAAGAAGAGGAATTCAAAAGAGGCTGCTTTGCTTGCTAGGAAATCATGTAAGGATGAATTTGGTTCAATAATAGGGATATGATGAAAAATAGAGTTGAGATGATAAATTTATTGTCGTATGTGTTGATTTAGTTGGCAATGATAAGTTGTGCATGTGTCAATTGACTTATACTGTTGTGATTGTATTTCTTGAGTTTTAGAGTGCAACCGAGTTGTCCCTATGGGAGAGTTTGCAGAAGGTTTTAGGTACGAAGTTACATTTGAGTTCTGCTTATCATCCACAAACAAATGGTCAGACGGAGAGGACTATCCAATCTTTAGAAGACTTGTTGAGAGCTTGTGTATTAGAACAAGGAGGTGTTTGGGATAACTTTTTACCGTTGATTAAGTTTACCTACAACAATAATTTCCATTCGAGTATTGAAATGACACAGTTTAAGGCGTTGTAGGGTAGAAGGTGTAGGACGCCTTTATGTTGGTACGAGTCAGGAGAGGGTAGTGTGATTGGGCCTGAGATTGTCCAATAGACCACAGAGAAGATCAAAGTGATTCAGGAGAAGATGAGAGCTTCTCAGAGTCTCCAAAAGAATTATCATGATAAACGAAGGAAAGAACTTGATTTCCGAGAGGGAGATCATGTATTTCTGAGGGTTACTCTAGTAACTGGTGTTGGTCGAGCTTTGAAGTCTTGAAAACTCACTCCGAGTTTCATCAATCTGTACTAGATTCTGCAGAGGATCGGAGAAGTGGCCTATCAGATATTTTTGCCACCGTCACTTGCTAATCTTAATGAAGTGTTTCACGTGTCTCAGTTGAAGAGATACATTCCAGATCTGTCTCATGTGATCCAAATGGATGATGTGCAGGTGACAAATAATCTGACTATTGAGGCATCATCCATGCAGATAGAGGATCGGGAAGCAAAGTAGTTGTGTGGTAAAGAGATTAATTTGGTGAAGGTAGCTTAGGGAGGAAAAACAGGTGGAAACATAACTTAGGAGCTTAAGGGCCAGATGAAGGATTCATATCCGAATATGTTTGCTTGAGGTAATTTTTGAGGGAAATAATTTCTCAAGTGGGCGAAAATTGCTTGAGGTAACACTGCATTTTGTGTATAGGATATTTTGCCGTATTTTATTTAATTAATTATGCCTATTCTATGATTTATTTAATTGTTGAAATGTTTGTAGGGCGTAAGTCTTTGAGTTAGGGACATGGTAAGGCTATTATAGGTGGATAGAATAATTTCGAATTATTTTGTTAAGTAAAATTATATGTTGTTGGGGAAGTAGTAGTAATAGAAGGGTATGGTGAGAATGTAATAGCTTGGTAAAATAATTTATAAATAATTAGAATGATTAACATTTTTATTATTATTAGAAATAAATAGAGAATTTGATAAAAATAAGAGTTGAACCAATTGTGTGAATCGAGGAAAGTTTGTAGTAAGAGGAGAGAAGCTAGAATTGATTTGGGAAATAATAATAATTAGGCTAATGCAATGAGGTTACTATATATCCTAAAAGTTGGGAATATTTCATTTTTAGAGAAACTAATTGACATTACGTTGAATTGAAAAGAAATAGGGGAAAAGGTAAGGTTGACTAGAGGTAGAAAAAGGGGAATTCCAGAGAGGTTGCTTTGTTTGCTAGGAATTTTGGTAAGGATGAGAATTTAGTTCAATAATAGTGGTATGATAAAAGGTAGAGTTGAGAGGCTCCCTTGGCCTCCATTAGGGCTTGTGTGTTCTTGATTAGATGATAAAAGATGATGAATTTTTTGTCGTATGATTTAGTTGGTAATGATATGTTGTATATGTGTCAATTGATTTATACTGTTGTGTGAGTGTATTTCTTGAGTTTTAGAGTGCAACTGAGTTGTCCCTAGGTGTGAATCTAAATGACTAATCTATGAGAATTTTAAAAGGTTTATAATCAAGAGACTATAGTAGGTGTAATAGTATTAATTGACCGTGAATCAAAGTATTTTAGAGGTTGCAATTAGAACTGGTAGTGAACAGAACGATTGGAAATTGGAGGATACTAATACGTAACATCGAAAACAAGATTTTGGAAGATATACTTGTGATACGGTGGGAGAACTGACTTGAGGTTTTGCATTTGTGTTCGCAAATGTTTTGGTTTAGCAAGAGTCGCCACCGACTTTTTATTTTATCCTAAGGAAAGGTCAAAAAGCACAGGAAAGACCTTTGAGATGTTTTCTTGGATTCTGGGAGTAGATTATAGAAAGGGAAGGTATTAACACCCTTTCTATCCATGGTTATCCATGGGCTCTTAGTTACTTGTTTAGATCACTTGCTTTGCTTTTCAATTGTTTGAAATGGTGCTCTTCAATTGTTTGAAATGGTGCTTTGTGTGTGGTTTTGAAAGATGTTTTGAAAAGAGGCCATCGTTGTGGCAACTTTTGTAATGATTCTTGTTGGAATGTATACAAAGGTGTTTTTATCTTTTGAAAAGTTTTCAATGTTTGAAAGTTGGATTTTAAAATTGTGTTGTGAAGTGTGTTTGAAAATAGCAAGGATGTTTTTGCAAGCTTTTGATCAAGTAACTAAGAGTTATCTACCCTATTTTACTCAAAGATCTTTCTTATGTTTTTAACCCTTTTAACAGTGTTGTTTCACCATTGTATTTGGTGAACAACCTTGTGTTAGGATGTTAAACGGGACAGGCGCGGGTCATCGTATAGACCATGATAGCAATTGTGTCAAGTATCTTTGGAAATTTTCTTAAGGGACTTGATCATTTTTGTTTAGGCAACTCAGATAGCGTCATCGAGGGACTATGATATTTTGTTTTGTTTTTGTTTTGCCAAAGTACTTAATATGCATACCATGACCCATTTTTGAAGGCAACAAGTGGATTGTAACCCTAGGGGTGTAAGTGTACATTGTGTTTGTTTTTTCATGCATTTTTGTCTTTAATTAGGTCAAACTATTTGTTGGTTTTAATTTTGCATACAAATCCTAATTCTCTAATCATGG